CTAATTTTATCAAAATTTATATTTCGTCAACTATATTACTATTTCACTTATATCAACCAGAAGTCCATACCAAGTCTGCAAATTCTAGTTCATTTGGTTATAGGATTCATATTTGTAACCGAATATAACAATCAGTTTTATTGTGACACATTCAGTTATAATTGTCTAACAAAAGATGCTCACTGCTGAGGAGTCCCACAATAGGACGAAACGGCCGTCCAGTGCTTTCAGGTTTTCCATGGTGGTCTAGCTTCAATTGACTCATGATCCTAACCATTGCAATTACTATAATATCCACAAAACCCATCTGATATTAAAAGATCATTAGCTGATCAAAACCTGCTTAATCGATATTCAAAGTCGTTACTTTTCTTCTCAGAAATATATGAAATTAATCAATTTTAAGGATCCTAGTTAATAATGAAATTGTGTCACAACAAACATTTACATGAAATGAATTATGCACCTTCCCCTTCAAAAAAATAATAATTCTATTCGAATAGTTAAAATTATAGAGAACACACTTTTATCAGCCCAATTTTGTATCTTCTAACTGTGCACGTAAATTTTATTCTCTTCCTTCAGTTCATTATTTGTTCACGTAATTCATCTATAACCTAAACAAGAGTAATTTTATGCACATATTTTTCACAAGAAAAATCAATTCAACACAATTCTTAAAAGGAATTATTTGTAATAATAAGAGGCTAGACGGTAATTTATGTAAGACCTTTGAGCGACGCTAAAATGACCCTGAGAATGTTCACTTACTCACTAGGACAAAATGAAGGTTATAAACCAGTGTAAGGAATTGGAATTATGATTTACAGTAGATGGTTAGTGTTAGGAATTAAATTTAGCGTTTTTATCACACACTGACATCAGCTGAAATGGCAAAACGCTTTCTGGCCAAATGTACGAATGAATTTCGCACCAAATCTAAGACTCGTTATCTTATATCTGATTGGATTGTCCACAAATTATAGTCCTGTCGTGTTTGATAAGTTAAGCGTTGATGTTAATCATAAAATGACTACGTTGTTGGATAATAAGTCAAAATATTTAGCTATATTTGGATATATCTTCTCTATAAAATTAAAATGAAGATCGAATCGAACTCATATATCATTAATTTTTAATCACATTCGATTATATCTGATCCATTTACAGTAAAAATATATTTCCAAGACTAAAAGTATTTGTCATCATTTGGAGTAATAGTAGGAAATAATTTTATTTGTTATTCAATCAATTTCAATGCAGATACAATCATGTATATACGTCAGTTGGGAGTATATCTTTATTGATGTGCATAAATGTAAACTACGAAGATTATTTGTTATTTTGATTAGTGATAATGGTAGCAAATTCAGCAGTTTTAATGAACCTCTTGTACATTACTTGAAAATACTTTTAATTCCAAAATCTATGCAGTATTGAAAAAGATATCTAGCTTTATAGTAAAACACGCACCAGAAAAATCAAATTTAATTAAATGACCTAGGATGGAACTGTACATAGGAAAAACAACAGAAAATGACACAGTTTTACATACAATACACTTCCAGTTTGAACATCATAAAGCGTAACACTAAAACTGCAAATCTTCACTATCGTTTTCTTTATTAGGTACCAACGACATTAACTATTGTAAACCTTTATTTCTTTCATGTAAAAACTGATCATGAGAATTCAAATAAAAGGATAAATCATTTATTTTAATATGGACCTACACGATAAAGATTGGTTATTTGCTTTTTATAACGTTTTGAATTTTTTACAAATAATTCGTTTTGTACCACTGGTGTAGCCTGTAAATGCAATAAAGGAAGTCTTTGTAATGTGAAATATAACAGAAATATAAAGAAAACATTTGTTGAAACAACGCAGTAAGATATAAGTTTCCTGTTCCACTTCAGCCACTAACATTATAGAACCGAGGATACATGTGGATTAGTTCAAATTGCCACACTATATCAGCACAGAAATATATCGGATTGGTATAAGCTTTAAAAGGATCAGTGTTCGTAGAAAAAATTAGGCGTAAAAGATATGATTCAAGAAGAAAATATAGATTCCTGGATTTTAAAGTATTTTGAAATAATAAAAAACTTAGGATGTAAAGGAAGATAAAGTGGTAATGGTCCTGCTCCATTAAAAATATTTCTGAGGCACGTTACCATATGAAACAGAACGAGTGTATTGGTGAAAAATTACGGTCAAATTATTATATACTACCGAGTCAATCGGGGCCGAAATAGCAACTTTTATTCTCTTTATGCGAAGTTCGAAATACACTGGCAGTTATTATCCATCTTTTGAACACCTATGAGAACAAAATACCTTCATTTTGAACTGTAGTTGTCTAGGATTGATAGGAAAATGTTTTTTTGCTATCCTACAGGGAGAATGATATGACACGACCTCTAAGTCGCACAAATCGCTTACTCCACCTGATTCAGAATCTATCCTTTTTATTATTTTTTTCTAGTGAACTTACAACTGAACCATGCCTCCACTGATTTAAAAAATAATAGGCACTTTCATACTGTATAAATCCGTTGGAGAGTTCGGTATTTTCATGTAAGCAGTTCTTAAATCATTGTCACATAATGCAATTTTGTCGACCTTTGAGACAATTTGAATAAAATCATTGAACACCATTAGAAAATCGCTTAGAACAATGTTTATCATTCATCAACGTACTCAGAGAAATCATAATCTAATGAACGAATGAAATTTGTTGCGAAAACAGACTATCACATGAAAACCCTGAAAACGTCAGTAAGTACATGAAATAAACATTCAAATCTCATTACTGACAAATTCTTGCATGGCTGGTAAACTCAAATGAGTAATAAAGAGCACAAAAATTTTACATTTTGGTGTTTTTCACGATTTAGCAATATAGTATACCTTCAACGAATTTTATTTTAGAAGAAAGTATCTAACCGACTAATCCTAATGTTTATTTACTTGGAAATTGTTATATTTCAATTATGAATGATAATTTTCTAAAAGTAATTCTTCTTTTGTAAATTCTATGCTTAAACTTTATACAAGAATGTTAATCTTACACAAATCTCCATCGGTTTATTATTTTAGAAGATTTTAAACTCAAACTATCAACGCTTTTTTGTCTATATCACTATTATTTTAGTGTTATTGGATCTCAGTGTTACTGGATATTTGAAATCAATTTCATAATTATTTATCAAAGTGTTTGTAACAGACAAAAGGAACCTTAATGAGTTTTAATGCTGACGTTCGAAATGAACGGTTCTGTTAATCAATAAAATTACTTTTTAACGTGAAATATAAATGAAAGTAAATACAGTTGATCATAGAAACGGTACTGACGAGCGTAAAAAACAACTTATTTTTTACCAATATTTCATAATCTATGTACTTTAGTTCAATATGATCCATTCGTTTTCGGTTTTATTGCAATTGGTATCTAAGTAGACTTGAGAAATTTAACGTTAGCTTTATCCCAGTTTAGTATATATATATATATATATATATATATATATATATATATATATATATATATATATTACTCGTTAATTAGAATATAATTTCCTCAGTGTACTGATATCAGCTTCAGAGACACCGGAAACCACAAAGCACTTGACAGATATATTGTCCCAAGTTGAAATTATTCATTATATTATCCCTGCAAACCGTGCTTGGATACTTCATCTGGCGTCAGTCTATAAGGAAAACTATGACTGGACTGGAACAGTCAGTGTAAATCAATCAAACAGGGGATCAAACACTTACCAACGACTAGCTCCTAGATAGATTCTTCGTGCTTTGGTAAGAAGTTGCTAACAATGAAGTTTAACAATTTTTAAAGTAAGGGATTCACTTGTATGTGAGATTAGAAGACTAATACGTTATATCATGAATTAACTAAAGTTGGAAAAGTAGATCATTGAAATCCAACACATCTGTCTAAAGACAACGGGATAAATTTGACTTTCGTAGGTTAGATCTTTGGCAAAATAACTGTCTATTACCCTCAAGTTTTGGCTAGTTTTTCAAGTGATTTGACTGTTTGACGAAAATCATTTTCAAACCCAAATAGTCTTCACAAACCTCGTCAACCAACAATCTAATTTGGTTATTTTCTGGATAATTCATGTTATATTACGTTTGCAATTGACTAAAAGTAACTGAGTAAATTCAACTGATAAATTGATTACACGTAATTTTTTTATTGTTATTATGCTTCATTCAGACACAGTCTCTCAGAACACTACAATAAAAACTTGACAGAATTTTCAATTTATATGACTTAAGCAAATAAACTCTAGTCATCATGAAGTAAACATGACTTCAGCTTGTAAATTTCAAACTCAATAAATTGAGTTAGTCAGTTATTGATATCAGTGTGAAGGAGTTTTGTGGAGACTGTAGTAATTTCAATAGTTGAGATCATGAGTCAGTTGAAGCTAGACCACCATAAAAACATGGAACACTGGACGGCCGTTTCGTCTTATTTTTGGACCCCTCAACAGTGCACATCAGCGACCCCGCCTCGCGGAATTTGAACCCAGGACATATCAGTCTTAACCACTAGATCACTGAGCCGACATCTAACGGTGTTAGTGTCTAACTTCAACTAATCCATGAAATTGAGCGATACAACCACCATTGTCATCAGTCCGTTACTATCTCACAACAAACCCGGTTGAACTCCACTGGTCACTGCTTCCCACTAGAACTCCAGGATATACCTCTGGAAGCCAGTTACTAATGAGCATATGTTGGTCTAGCTTCAATTGACTCATGATCTCAACTATTAATATCACTCCGTTAACTTAGTTACAAATAAACATATCAAAAAATTATATTTCGTTAGTTTTTCCAAAAATAAAAATTCTTTTAAGATTTCACTTTTCTAAATAGATTAGTTAGAACAATTTGAATAGAAGAGATGAAGTTACTTCTTTTTTCGGATTAATTTTGACCATATTTACAAATTGCTTTCATCGAAAGATAAGCACAAAGTAAAAAAAAAGAAGCGAAAAACACAGATATTTATTTATCAATAACCTTAGACTTATTTAAGTACTATAGCTAATTGTTAGGGTCAATTAAAACTCAGTAGGCATCAATAAATTACTAGAATACTTTGTTAACTTCTTAATATTTATCAGTTCATAAGATATCAATGTATCAAAAAATCAAAAATAAAGTTTCATTATATAACTTACTGTAATAGTAAATTGTGTATTACCAATTAAATCATTGATTATTTGTGTTAAATTATGGTCAACATATGGATGGTTTATAGGATAATGAATTCTTCTAGTTTCATCAAGTATAAAACGTTCTGAAAGTAGAAAATTAGTAGAACGGTGTTATATTCGGTCGTCGGTGATTGCTGTTCCGGAAAAACACTGATCACTTATACTCGGAACGAGGAACCTCGGCAATTCCCACGATGCGAAAGTATGAACACAAGACTGGTATAAGTGAAGATTTATTAGCCCCAAAACACTATGACGAAGAATGATGATGATAATAATGAATGAATCACGATAGTCTTAAATACACCGGTTTATTTATTGATTGTACCCCATTTTGATTAATAATTAGGATGAAATCACATACTCAGTTATAACAAATCACTTACTGAGCATAGTTCATGTCAACTGAATACAAGAATATCGTATATTATACAGAATAAAATATCATCCTGGGAAAACAAATCAAATACTACACTGAATGATCTACACGTTGAATCAAAACGGATGTAATATTGAATAAAACTCATAATGAGTAATTCAATCAAAAATTGACTTTCCTTTCCATCGTATCAAACATATATGAAAGTAATTCCATTAAAATGTATTAAGAAATTTTTTTGTGAAACCATAATGATTTCAACTATAGTTAAGTTAAATGAAAACTTTAGTTAAAGTATAGTTATTAAAATAAAAATCTTTCAAGCATATTGAATACTTCTAACTGATACCCCATTTACAAGTAGATATTATTGCTTTTACATTTTAAATCAATGAAAGTAATGTTTTGTGGTCAAGTGGTTAAACGCTCGCGTGCAAGACTGATAGGTCCTGGGTTCGAATCAGCGAGGCGGGGTCGTGGATGCGCACTGCTGAGTAGTCCCATAATAGAACAAAACGGCCGTCCAGTGCTTCCAGTTTTCCATGATGGTCTTGCTTTAGTCGACTCATGGTCTCGACTATTGAAATAAATTTAAACTGAGACAATATTTAATTTAATTACATTTTAGAAATATGTAAATGATACATAACAGCACCGAGTTATCTTTCGTGATTTCTATGTTTACTAAGCCATCAATCATAAAAAATCACCATGTTATTTTTCTTAGAAATATTTTGATGTGATTAATTACATTGTGGACTATACAAAAGGATTTATCTTTTTTTATGCAGTAAAACCTTTTATCAGGAACACATTAGCTTTTCTTCATTACGTCATTGTAACATTTATTATCATGTTCTATTATAGAGCTAAGAGAAATAATTAGACCATAGAACAGCTAAATTCTAATTGTACGTACTAACTCATCTTCATTAATTTTAAATTATATTAGTCTAAGGTTTTTCAACGCTTTCAGGATTTAGGAATGATTGTTTCACGCTTACCAAGAATTATATGCTTCATTGTGACAATTCAACACATACGGTTTCATTAAGGATAAAAAAACACTAGATACTTAGTAGAGATCAATTGTGTTGGATGTGGGGAAGATACTCATCGAAGATAATTTACGATGGTGAGGCAATATCGCGTACCGATTAAAGTTAAATATGAATACCAGTGGGTCCCGTTTTAGTGGTCTAAATGTTAAATTTTCGCGTGTAAGACCGAAGGTCCTGATTTTGATTCCTGATTGTACGGTTATGGATGTGCACTTCTGAAGACTCTCATATTATAACGAAACAGCCATCCAGTGCTCTAGTTTTTCAATGGTTACCTAGCTTGGATCAATTCATGATTTCAACGAAAACCAACAACCTTCACAAGCACATACTGGAATATATCCTATTGGTGAGTATTAGAATATATATGCAACTAAAAGGCTATTCAACTACTGAATATTAGTAAATACCAAAATGAATATGTATTATGTTTATTACATAACAATTACATATTTACAAAACTATGTTAGATCATCAATACCTTGAGTATATTTTTTTATCATCAGTGATTAATTTACACATACCTAAATCATAAGCAGCATCAAGAATTTGATCAGTAATTTGTACTTTATTCACCGGAATTTCACGATGGTTTCTCATGTTTAAAAGATCTGAATAGATAGATGATGTTACAGTGAAAAAGGAAAAATATATATATGGGAATCTTAACTATAAATAACTTTTTTCAAAGGCAGACCAATTGTGAATTCAGTTAGATGATAGAAAATCGAATCCATTCTATCAAAACCAGTCATCGTGATTAGATCAGTGTATAATATATAAGTATAGTGAACATTATCAAGATTATCAAAAGTATGGTTCTTCATGATAATAAACACGAAAGAAGAGTTTTGAAATTCGAAATGTTTACCAAAGGGATGTTTCTCATTGTCTCTATCATCGTTTAACGACCATATATCTGAAAACAAGTGAAATCTATTATAGATTTTTTTACGGCACAAAATTTGAATCAAAGTTTGTCTGGGTCACGCTCAAATATTTTTAGGATGTACTATATAAGGAATAAAATAGATCCAAAAATAGGACAAAATCACAATTTTTCCGAAATTTTTAGCCAATAGGTTATTAATAAGTGAGAGCTACTTCATAACAGATTAGATGTGTTAGTTCTAACTGTGTTAGATTTTTCAAAATGTGATTATAGATGACATTGAGTATTTAATTAGCACTAGAAAAAGAGTAAGTGCCGTTAACAATGTTCGGCTTGATAATTTCGGATAAATTGAAGATTAGATGGATTGTTATTAAAAGAAATTATATACATATAATATTATTTCTATTATCAGAAAAACAGTATGTTTTTAATGGTTTTCTGTGCTAGCGAAATATTTCGTAATCGACAGTCTTGGAAAGAGTACACCCTTACATAAGACAAAGAAAGTCAAATACAGAAATTACACAGAAGAAAATAACCAAAGTCTGAAAAACATGTTTTCCACAACTAACTAGGGACGATTTACAGATGACTCGTAGGAAAACACCGTTGATTTTATTATTAGTTACCTTAAATTCTTTTTTGATATTTATTGTCTCACTGAGATCATTTTAATCGACATACATTTTCACAACTAAACCGATTACGGAGGGTAAAAGAAATAATGTACAAGGGGAAAAACTCCTTTGATAATCGAAAGCTAAATGGTCTCGTAAACCTAAAAAGTATGCGTCTCAACTCATTGTTTACTCATAAGCTCCTATCTTGTACAAACTGTGGAAGTATGTAGAAGCTATTCCAAGAGCTTACAGGTGAGAGACATAGTAAAAGCCATAACCATCTGAATGTGACTTAAATAAATCTTTTGTACATCAGTCATCCGATATCATACTTTATCCACAAGTTTAAAGAGTAGTTGTTTAGCTTATTCCAGTTTCCAGACAGACCAATTTATTCAATCTTTTTGAGTAACACTTCTACATTGTCGTTTATTCGCTTATTAACCCTGGCTGTTTTTTATATGACAGTGGATAAAGCTGCAAGAGAAAGAAATATCAGACAACTCAATGATACTATGAAGAAGCTGGCAGGAAGATACAGTAAGCTAGAGAGACCTATTAAAGACAAAGAAGGCAATAAAATTCAAGAACAGAGGAAAAGATGGCAATAAGAATGTAAAATTTAGAATCATAGCAAAAATTTCACTTTTCCTTGAAACAACGGAAAAAACCATTACTACTCTCACATCAACCCGCCATAAAAGAGCACATTTATCCGTGTAGTTTGCTTACAAATGAAAAAGAAGAACCTTAGATACTGCTATTTTTCTGCATGATAATATAATGTTTAGCTTAGAAAAGGGTAAGAAGTATCTTCGGTGAGCTTTATTAGATTATACTTCTGCTTTTGATCTTATTCCAAGAAAAATTTTACTTATCAAGGTAATCAGCGGCATCATCGACAGCTGAATAACCAATTGGCTATGTTCCTACTTCACTGGAAGAGATGAGTACACTGTGCTTGGAGGAAATTGTGCGACATCTCTACTGTCTCATGAAGTTGCACCACAAACGGCTGTCCTTCCCCTATTCTCTTCTCTTTTTTTCTGCATGATCTGCCATCTTCCACAGAAAACACTTTTGTTAAGTATGCGGACGATCTTACTTTATGTATGCCGAGTTTTACCTCATTACATCCCCTTGAAATGAATGAGTTCTTGTCTCGTATTGAATGGTGGTCTGTTGTTAATGGTCTCATAATTAACCTGGTACATGTGCAGCACCTAAATACCCTGTTGCAATACCAGGAAGCTTGTACTAATGGATATTCTTTGATAAACACAATGTCGAATGTCATTTAACTTGGTGTAAATTTTTTCCGTCTGACGTACTACATAAACTGGTTACATGCTTTTAGGATTACTCAACGTTTACTCTTACAAGTTGTTAATTCTCGAATATTACCTACTATTTTTTACTGTTCTCCATTATTCTTCCCTGGGCTTTTAAGAGAAGACTTTGTTGTATTGCGGAGAGTGCTGAAGGCAGTTAACAGGGTATGTAAGAAATCTTTTGAGGTTATTATTAGTATGGTTGTGGATAGACATCTAAAATCTTGCACACTCCTGACAGGTGTTATTTTATTACATAAGAACCATACACTTCATTCATACCTTTCTCCTTGTATATCTTCCAGTAGAACGGAACGTCAATATATTATAGTTCATGCAATTAAGCAGATATATAAAAGTTCTAAAATACCTTATCTAGTAAATATATTGTGGCAAACAGGTCTTTAGAGTCGACCAAGTCAGCAACTTGTATTCTTAAACATGTTCCAGGTAGTTTATCTACATTATTTATGTCGATGTATATGCAGTTATCGATTTTATTCCCTTTCTTTTTTTTCGTAAAATGACTTGTTAAAATACTCACTGCTGACAATTGTATATTGTTCCAAAAAATACAATACTAAATAAAGGTATCAATAATAATAATAACAATAATAATAATATTAATATATGGTTAATCGATTCGAATCATGTGTGACACAATATATTTTAGTACTTATACAAACTGTTGTATCTAATGTTGCATGAAATTAAACTAACTTTCTCCTCTATATTATTTAGAATCTTATGTTATACAGTGTAATCTCAAGAGTAAGCAATACTGAAGGTCCGACATTAGAACAAATCAAGTTCTTAAGGTCTCCCAGTTTTTAGTCATTCTTAAATTGTTTTCATTTTGTAGTGTAAATAATCTTCCGTTAATTGTTTTGTTTCGTTAAGTCATATAAACCCGTATCATGTGATTTGTGACATTTAGGAAAGATTGTAATTAAATAAACACATAAAAGTACCCGCTTTAGATTCATTTCTATTTACGACAAATAATAAATTCTGTCAAAATTGTGACTATTTCAATACTAAGGATTATGAAATTGAAGTAATAATCTTACCATAAATGAAGCATCTGTCAGACTACCATTATTTGACTTATTAAGTACTATATATTATTTATATCTGATATGTTTGGGTAGAAAGCAAGGACTTTTCTAATTTAAAGAAGAGTACATTTTAATATTTTATCTATCTATCTATCTATCTATCTATCTATCTATCTATCTATCTATCTATCTATCTATCTATCTATCTATCTATCTATCTATCTATCTATCTATCTAACACTTACCTTTAGGATTAAAGGCATTTATTTTTCCACTTTGTATAAATATATCTGTGTATTTATCTTGTTCTTGATCTAGTTAGAAACAATAAAGTATATAACAAAATGATAGAATTGTTAAAATTAATCAATAAAGCATAAACGTAAAATCATGAAACACTGTAATATTATTTTGTGGATATACTAAGCACTGAAAGTTCAACTAAAACATAAAACAATTTTAATAAAGGCATTTTTCCAGTAAATTCTCTTTTTTACATTTATGGTCAAAATCTAATAACACGGACTACTTTTATGGTAATTGTTATTTTGAATAGAAATCATACCTTACTGTTGGTGCTAGGTTATGACAATAAAAAGTTTAATTCTAAGAGTATAACGAAAAACTCAGGTCAAAAATACACCAGAATTATTGTCACAGTTTGTCACAATTTGTTCTTATTAAAAAAATTGATTCTATAAAGCATTAATATTACTTCTAAAAACTGGGTATTTATTGATATGTGAAGAAATATTCATTATTGTTTTCATGACTCATTAATCTAAGTATATCATATTTATTCCCATGTCTGAAAGGTTTATGTTCAATTTCATATGTTACTATGGCTGCGTACTGATTAGGAGTTTGAAATCATGATGAAATAATTACCCATTGTTCTTCTTTCAGATAATGTCATTTTGTGTTAAAAAATAATCAACAAAGCTTTAATTTTTGGTGGCTTGTACATTAAAGTGATTGTTGTTACTTATACAGAACTTTATATGGAATATAAGAGGGTTTTTCAAATCACTACACTTAAGCTTGAAGTAATTGTGTCATTATTTATTCGTTTCTAAGTTGAATTGAAACTGATTTATCAAAAATGCCAAACTACAAATACCCTTCTATGTAAACAGCGATAACTTATCATACTTTTGCTAATTTTGTGAGATAATTATTGTAACGACTTATCGTCCCTCATTAATATCACCCGACAAAAACATTAATCGGAATCTGTTTCAGCACTAATAACTTTAACTTAACGTTAAGCTCTTATTAGTCATCGATTCGGCAGCTTCTTTCCCTGTTTTGCAAGTTGAGTCAATGTATCAGTAACCAGAATCCACTGTACGAGTATTATATATATATATTAAAAATAAAGAAATAAATCTTATTTTTTTATTGTTTGGACCTGAAAATATTCTCAAGTACAAGAAAACAATAGTCTGTAGACAATTCAATAGAATTATTATAGTTATTAAATCGATGTTTGACCAAATTTTTTTTATTAGCGTCGAGTTGTACATACCCATATCTAGATCCCAACGTTTTATGTTGTTTTATCTGTCGAGAAGAAATTACAATGTCCTTTTCATAAATATTTCAAGTCCTTATTGAGACTTCATTATTACATAACGTTTATGAGCCAAAAAAACATTTCCAGATTACGTGATCTTTTCATTTACATTTATTCTTTAAGAAAATAGATAAAATATCGTACACCTTGAAGTTTGTCATTTTTTTCCTTTAAAATGTGATGGGTTTAGAGTGGATTACACAAGGCTATTGTGTGATAAATGGTTTTCGATTGAATAGGGCAGTCTGCGTTCAACCATTTAAAACTTGGTAATAATTCACTAAACACAAATTAATTAATTACTTAATTTTACTTAGCTAATACCTAAATCGATTTCAAAATGAGAACGTAACCGGAATAATTTGCCTAAATTATAATATGCTGATTAGTAGAATGTGCTTAAAAGAAATAGATTCCTTGAAATGGTAATTGAAAGCTATGATCTTTTGGTTTGAGTGCTTTTGAGGAGATGAAAAACGGGAGTCAGTATAATTGATATGTTATATCGAGAGTTATTGAATTCAAATTTTATATACGGTATAGTTTGGTCCAGTGGCTTAAAATTTTAAACACTGTAATCACCATATAAATGTTTGATAACAATGAACTATTTTAGAGGTTTGAATAGTTTACTGTTATTTGTTCATCCATACATTTTATATTTAAGCTTATAGTTAAAACCGTGATGAGATTGAAATTCACATAAATGTTCGAAGTAATACTTTTTTAAAATTAATGAAACTAAATGAACTTACTCAAATACGGATGAAATATAAATGGTCCAATTAATTTATTGGAATTAAACGTTAAATAAAATATACAACTATCCGATGTATTCTGATAAGTTAAAATATCTTTTATATCTGCATAATTATGTGAAGGCATGATAGATCTCTTCTTTACATAATTCTGTTCTTTGATGACAAAATTATGTTTACTTAGATTTTCACTGCTGCGATCAATATCATCAACATCTTCAATTTCATCGTCATAGTCATACTCCTTTTCGTCATCATTATAATGAACTAAATCTTCGTCACAATCAGTCTTCCTTAAATGTTTACGTCTTGTTCGACGTCGATTTGGATTTTTAGAATTATAAGCTCGTTGTTGTTGTTGTAAATATTTTGGAACAAACTTTTTCATATTTCTTCTTGGAGAATAATCATAATCAGTTGGAAATATTCTTTCGTGAGGTGATTGAAACAATGTGAAAATATTATCACTTTTATATTTTTTAATTTTACTAAGGTGATTTATTTGTAGTTCATCAGTGTCAGTCAATTTCGGTACTAACATGTACGTATCAACTACAACTATAAAGTATGAACAAATGCAAAATAAATATGATACGTTTCAAATAATATATCCTTGCTTAATTTTTTTTTCTATTTTATGAAAATCAAATCTTTCACATTCTTTTCTTTGTATAATTTAAAACAAATTAAGGTCATCTATATTGACAACTCGATTTTCATTGGTTCGTACAAAGTCAACAGTTGTTTGTTTATGAAAGGACAAATGTCAAATTTAGTAGTTTTAAAGTTAACATAAATATTAGAGTATTGGAACGTTATCAAAAAAAAGAATATGGAAAAGAATAAAAGTAAATTGATAACAAAGCTAAATTATTTCTATGCAAGAATTTATATTATTTGATCCAATGATAATAAATAACCTTGGCATTCAAATAAAATTGAAACATGATTATTCTCGGTTTGTTTTGTGCTCATTATGGAATTTCAAACAGATCAGTAGTCCAATTCTTATATTACTCAAAAAAAGTATTGAATATCTATGATAAGTCTCTCGGATTTGAACGCTATATTCGTCTCCTAAGCTATTCTGTAACCCCCAAGCTAGAACTAAACACGAGAGAGAAGACTCAAAGTATGCGAGAAGTAGTTTACTCCAAGGTTCATTTTAATACAGAAAATACAGGGTTTTTATAATATTTTAAATTTCCTTGAGTTGCTAGAAGATTCTGGAATGCTACTAAACATAGTAGCAGTGTAGCAGCCAACCAATCAGAGCCTCTGCATGTGACGTTTCGCTTCCATGATATTTTTGGCTAAGACTAAAAGTGAACGCCGATTGAATGAGACGCTTCTTACTGTTTCCTGATACTTACTTGTCTTTTGCAAGCAATTTTCTGGATCACCCCAACAATCTAGTTTTAAAAAATAAATATTTTTTTATAACTTATGAAAGAGATGTTCTTTAAAGCTTATTGTTGTCATAAAATCAAGCAGTTTGGTTTGAAGAATGCATTGGAGAATATGGCAGGCTACAATTTCGAAAATGATTTGCAAATGCTATTTAATAAACAGGGTTATATGGTATTTTTACAGTTTATTTTCAGTCGATTATAATCTAACAAATATAATTTCCATTTTTAGGGTGAAAATATATATTACAATTAATTTCAAGTTATCAAAAGAGCAAACATCAAATAGCATTTGACAACTATGTTAACAACTTCCTTCGCTTTGTGACTCTACCGATTTTGATTTTTGAAAAAATGTACTACAACTACAACTACATCAAACCAAGTCTGTCCACAAACAGTATCATAAACGAACATATTTGTACTTTGCACCATTGAATGACTGAGCTAACAACGATACTAAATTTTTTATTGAACACATTATCTATTATTTTGAAAAAAACTTCATTTTGTGATTTGATGAAATCTTATGAAGTAATGTGCAAACAAATGCTATTCAGTAATCTGTTTACTCACATGTATCAATCATCTGGAAACCGACTATGACCCCTTTCAGTTTATTGAACTGACATTTGAAATAAAAATAATTGCAGCTGAATAAACCGAAACGACAACTCTATATGTTGTAAGTACTAAATTAAACTAGTGATGTGGAATCCTAATTTGTACGCAGAAACACAAAGCATTGATGTATATAATTTCATGTAAAAACAAAAGAAATACAAGCATCTGAATGTAGTAGAATGAATACTTTATTTGTTAGTTGGAATACGATATTTGATTCAGCAAAAAACAATACGTACATTAAATTCACTTGGTATTATTTGTTTGAAACTTGCCATTGATGTTTAGGACTGAAATCGATCAGTCTATTATTGATATATGTGCATAATATGCGTATCACCTCGATACAGTCTTAATGGCTGTCCACTCTCTCCATTCTTGTTTAATTTTGTTGTTGACGTACTTTTAGAGATAACAAATTCCTCGTCTAAATTTCCAGGGGCTGAACTTCTACCGGGAGGTTCACTTGTTGACCTAGAATATGCTGATGACATAGTTTTATTTGGTGAAGACGCTGACAAAGTGCAGAGTCTTCTGATCACTCTAAGCAACAATGCAAGCATGTTCGGTATGCGATTCTCTCCCTCGAAATGCAAAATATTGCTTCAGGATTGGGTTGCATTCACACCCGAACTTATGATAGGGAGTGAAGTAATTGAGCGTGTCGATCGCTTCACTTATCTTGGAAGTCTCATCACCCCTTGTGGTCTGGTGTGTGACGAAATCTCAGCACGGATACAGAAGGCTCGACCAGCTTTTACCAAATTGCGTCATTTATGGCGTAGGCGAGATATCCGTCTATCAACCAAAGGACGTGTTTACTGCGCAGCAGTTCGTCCCGTCCTACTTTATGGCTGTGAAACATGACCGGTAAGAGTAGAGGATATCTGTGGTTTACTGGTATTTGATCACAGGTGTCTTCCAAACATTGCTCGTATATCTTGGGACCATTGAGTAAGTAATGCAGTTGTTAGGAAACGGGTACTAGGTAACGATGGCAAATCGATTGGTGAGGTAGTGAAACTTCAGTTGAGATGGCTGGGACGTATGCCCAAGCACCGACTGCCTCGACGTGCGATGTTCAGTGGTATAGGAGTAGATTGGAAGAAAGCTAGGGGCGGCCAGACCAAAACATGGCACAAGTCCATGAAGTCACTGACAAGTGGACTGAACCATGTCGGTAGGTGTAGACTACCTGGTTGGGGACTGCGAGATGATAACAACCGATGGTTAAGACCCTGAATGACATGGCTCAAAATCGTTTGCAATGGCGCAGGTGCATCCATTCTTTGCGTTCTCTCAAATTCTAATCTTCTGAATTCTTCATGTCCCTTATTTTCTTTCCAAATTTATTTCACTGGATTATACTCCTTTAATAACATCTTCAAACCCTAATCTTTCCAATTCCTGCTTATACTCTTACCACCTCTACCACTTTAGGATTTGAATCGACATCTGCATCTCTGTGCTAATGTGGTGTGGCAATTAGAACTGATGTACGTACGTACGAAGTTATACGTTATAACTGACTGACTGATATAGCCTTAATTCACAAGCATTATATGCAGAACTCAGCAGCTAAGTGGATAATGAGATGGCGTTTGAAGAGAAAGGCACTCAGTCTGAGTCTCAGATAGAACATCGACTCTGAGGTGCATGTAAATCCAGATGACGAGTCCAAAATAGAAAGAAACGCGTGCCCTGTATCCCACTGCCAGCCACTATCCATCTCTGTATATAATGCTTGCGAATTAAGCCTATATCTAGGCAATACGCACAGTATGCCCGAATACTTATAAGAGACTGATCAATTACAGTCCTAAACGTCAATGGGAAGATTCAAACAAACAATACAAAGTTAATTTATACTTCACCAGATCGCACAAGCAAGTTGGCCATCAGGATTCAGTCTTAATAATTCGAATGCCTTACAAGTAAATCATTACGAAACTACTTCACTTGGCTACATATTCATCTATCTTTTTATTTATCTGTTAATCAGTTTACATTATTATATTCATCTTTACACGCTTAAGACACGCTGACCACTCGACACTCCGTACATTTTAAAATTGACTTCATTTCAGTGCAGATTTATCCAGTCTTACGGAGCTTATTTCTCCACAATATAATTTGCTGGATATTCTGTTGCCTGCGTTTTTTCTATCCTTACAAAATTGCAGGTGTTTATCAGTTTCAGTGTCAATACGAATATATTCCTAGATGTTCGATTCTAATGTTACTTCAATACTAACATTTTTTCGGTCCATTTGTGTCTAACCGATCCTGTTATTCACCAATTGTTGATTACTGGTGTAATTACCTGTTTGATCAACTAATTACGCTTCCTACACCCCGTGGTTTATAGGCCATCAACCAGGATTCTTCAGCCAACTCTGTCCTGGGCTTTTCTTCCTGGAAGTTTTTAATTGCTCTTCATTCTCTTGGTGTTTGCATACAATTCCGGACGCGACGCGTTATATGGTATGTGTCCTTTACTTTTACCTGGAGGATTTCCCAATTAGTGCTTATCTCTTGATGCAGTTTGGTGATTTCCGTAATGTATGTCCCATTCTCTTACAGCGTTTTCTCCTAATTTCCTTTTCAAATGGAAGCTGGTTTGTTCTCTCAAATAGGCTGTTGCAGATGGTATCCGGTCAACGGTCATTGAGTATCTCGAGTAGACAACTGTTTGGAAATACTAGTACATTTTTCAAATTGAAACTTCAATTAGATAGTATGAATGATTGATCTCAAAATATACATATCGCGAATCCTCGTATATAATCATCCACATAAACCGCTTTGATGAATAACGGAATTAAATAAGTCAAATACGAGAATAGATTTTTAAATGAGTATATTTTGTACACTCATTGATTTGAACAGACAATCATAGAAACGAAGTGAAGAGAAGAGAGCAAAGCGAAATGACGCGTTGTGAGGGCGTGTAAGCCAACTCAATTTAATAAAGCGTCAACTGATATTTATAATCAGATGAAAATACGCAACAGACATGTGATGAATAGAATAAGTAATGAACACATGTACGCTCACATAAAAACAGTCAGGGTTGATGAGCGAATAATTAACAAGATCAAAATGTGACTAAAGGAAGATGAATAAATAGGCTTATCCAGAAGCTAGAAAAATGTGGACTCAACATAGTAACCGACAATACATCTGTACAGTAAAACAGTTTTGACGTTCATTTTGAAGATTGTGACTTCGATATTGGTTAACACTTGTTTTGAGTTCCATATATTCTTCAGCTGTAGGAATATGACCCTTACTTTTCCAATTCTTGCCTTTACTTCTGCATTCTATCCTCCTTGTTCATCGATGATTCTGTCCA